TTCTGTTTGTTTTTATTTCTGGTGCCATATAAGTTGGTGTTCCAACATTTTTCGTGAACGTCATATTTGTCATAAGTAAATTCACACTTCTGGCACTCCCAAAATCAGTCAATTTTGCATTCACACTTTCACAAAAGTCCATTGAAAATATCAAAATATTATCCGGTTTGATGTTTCTATGCAAAAAGCCGTTTTCATGAAGATACAGAATACCATTAGCAACGTCAACAAGAAATTTGATTCGAAGTTTCACATCGACTTCTTCAGATGTTTTGTGTTTCATCAAATCTTGCAGAGACCCAAATGATGCAAATTCAGTGACCATACACACTTTATTTGGTATAAACACAGCTCCGTAGAAGTGTACGATATAGCCACATCTAAATTTGTCTAACATATTAACCTCCTTTGTAAATTCATCATCATCATTGTTTTTTATTTCTTTCTTTTTTTTAATGGCAACACAATTTCCTCTGTATATTCCTTTATACACAATTCCAAACGATCCTTCACCGATCACCTTCTCTTCAATCAACTCGTCGAAATCTAGTCGTGTTGTCATTTTGGTTAGTGCACGGATTTTCAATGGAAATTGGAAGTTCTCTCCTTTCTTCATATCAACAGCAAATAATGTGATTTCCTCGTCGATGTTGGTTGAGCACAGTGGCATCAAAAAGACTTCGAATTCAACAGCCTTTCCTTCTGGTATTGCAATAACTTGTGGTTCTGCACGTATTTGATATTTAACATTTGAAGTGTTGAACGTGAATTGGACTTTGACAGTATGATGTAAGGTATTTCCAACACATATTAACTCACGACTTTCACTATCAACATCTATCAAGGTATCACCATCACTTTCAAAAATTATTTCAGTTTTGTTGACTGAAATAAAAGAATTCTGAAGTTTCACAAAATTGATGTTTGAAGACTTCATTGAGAAGAGACACGTTTTCTTTTGTAAGTCACACACCTTTCTGTTTTCTAATATTAAAAACAATATATATAATATTAGAACAGTGGAAATGATAATTATGAGCACTAAAAACATGACGATGATTAGTATTATCCACCACACTGCATGTTTGTCACATGATGTTTGTGTAACACCAGTTTCATACCAAAAATCGCATTTGGTGCATTTTGAATTTTTCACCTCAACACAATGTTTAACTTCTTCCATTGATAAACATTTGTTGTTCAATATAACGTGATTTGACGAACAAGATGTGCATACTCCCAGTGTGTCACATTTGTTACAAAATTGGTTAGACACATAAAAACCGTCAACACATTTTTGACATCCAAATTTGCTTTTAACTTCACAATTTTCAAGTTCATCGAATTGAATACATTGTGGTGAATTTGTGAGTAAAAAAGTGTTATCATTGCAAGTAATGCATGTTGACTTTTGGTTGCAAAACAAACAGTTGTCAATACACTTTTTACACTCTCCTTTGTCATTTCTGAAAAACGAATCCTTACAAATAGCACACTTTGAAGAGCCTTCAATCACTTTCTTGCATTGTGTTTCTTCATTGGAAATGATAACACAACTGTTGTTTTGAAGAGTATACAACGAGGAACATATCAAACAAACATCTCGAGACGCACAGTAAACGCAATTCGGAGAGCATTTTTCACATGTATAATTTTTGAGATAATAACTACTTTCACAACGAATACAACGGTCTTGTTCAGATTTAAAAAGTGAACAGCCTATATCTATAAAATTATTTGATTTGCATGTCAAATCTTTAGACATAAAGAAAGTATTTTCACATGTCACACATTTCCCGTTTTTGTTTGAAATATCACAATTGTTGGATAATACACAAAGTCCATTCACATTGATAAATTTGTTTGTTGCGTTACAAATAGTACAATAAACATTGTCATTTGTTATGCATCCAGTCGTCGTTTCATTTTCACATGAACTATTTTTATATAAACACCATTTTTGCACTTCTCACAATTCGTTTGTGTGCATCTTTCACACGACTCTCCAACTTTTGTTTTACATGATAAACATTCTGAATAATTAAAATGGAAATAAAACCCCTGTAAACACGAAATAATGTTCGTGTTGTCTGTTAAATTTGCATTTAATTGTGATAAACATCCCCTGTTTTGTAAAATAAATTTATTATCACATATTGTACAATTGTTCTCGTTTTCACACACTAGACAATTCTTGTCGCAATTCACACATTTGGAATAATTAGAGTAATACCTATCCTTACATTTCATAATTAAATTATGTTTGGCTAAAATGGTGTTATTTGGCGCGTCACAAATGCTAACTCCATTTTGTAGAATTAACAAATAGCCAGAATCACATAAAACGCAACTATTTTTTACACACCTCAAACAATGACTTGAACATTTAACACACTGGTATTTGTAAAAATAAAAAGTCACAGGACACCACTCACACACCTTTGTTATGATATTTGTATCGTTTGGTAACATGCAATTATCATCGTAATTATAGCATTGATTTTTTAATAAATACGAATTTTTACAATATTTGCATGTACTATTTGTTTTGTCAATAAACAAAGCAGTGCAGTTTTGCTTATCATTAAACACAACATCATTAATTTTAGTGTCATTTGAAGTATTAAAACCGTATTTTTCACCAATAAAAAGTTTAATGTTTTGGTTAAAGAGTGTAATGTTACTGTTATCAATTGATTCATTTGCAATATAAATGACATTTGAAGTGATTGTATCTTTGAAAATACTATTACTTTCTTTGGTCTTTGTAAATTTCAGTGTTGTAACATTTTGATTGAAAGTACCATCAAATCCAATGTTTTGTATCATTTCATTTGTCTCTATAAAAATGGTTGTATTTACATTAGTAATTGGACAATGCAATACTTTTCTATATGAAGTATATACACTCATATCCCTATGTTCTAATATGCAGCCAATGTCGTAATTATACTCTATTGGACAAATTCGTAGTATTTTTCTTCCTAAATACAACGACATGGTAAATATTTGCAAATTTCTGTCTTTCTCTTTTTCAAAAGAAATAAACTCAAAGCATTCGATTTGATTTTGACTTGTTGACAGAGTCATTCCATAATTGTCATCAAAATTAAACAGTCCATTATCTCCAAATATCTCAACAATACCATTTTGATTAATATTGTTAAAAGTATCATCAAAATAGATGTGGGAAAGACCCAAATATCCATTGTTATATACTGCAATTTTAGCGTTTTGATGAAAGTGAACATTTTGAATATGAAATTCTCCATTCACTATAACTCTCGAATTAATATCACAATATGTTGTCGATATTATATTTTGACTTGTTGATATAAGTGTCACATTGTCCATATTTAATATGATTTTCTCCCATATTTTTGATATCGTTGTTGTGTAATTATTGTTATTAATTGCCAAAATAAGTGAAGGTGTGCTACTATAGTTTTCACAATCGGATAAGGATGGACCATTTGGTGAATTTGGATATGAATAATAGTTGTATTCATACATACACTTGCAAACTCTCTCTGTGTGACTTTTCATCACACCACGATGACCACAGACAGTCAGTGTATTTGTCTTGTCATTTAATGATCCCTGAATTAAAAATAAAATTAAGTCCGAGTAATCTTCGTTCATCGCAATGAAATTATTGATTGTCAGAGAATTTTTAAATGTGAAATTCGCAGGTGATGTGATTACTAAATTATTTACAATACAATTAATCTCAAATATAAGACTTTTGTTCTGTTGAAGTTCCAGTTTTTCAAAATATATTACATTTAACGAAGACTTAAATATGTATGTCTGGTAATTCGTAATAAGAAGAGTATACCATTTGTTTATAAATATATTAATTTCAATGTTATTGTTGTTGTCCTTTGTAAGTTTTGTTAAATCCAAATCTAAGTACGATGAGTTAAATTGACAATCACTAATATCGAAAGTAGTCTTATCATTGTTAATGTAATTTGAATTGGTAACACACCCACACAAAGTATTTTCATTAATTAAATTTTCATCATAACTTATTGTTAGCATAAAGAATCTTTTAAGTGAATGAATCGAAGTACTTATCGTCCGTTTGCATACAACTTTTACCTTTAGATCTAGTTGTGGTGAAAATTCCCATTGTATTGTTGGTATTTGTGTAAATTCGTTACCACTGAATAAATATCGAAGATATGAAAATTCCACATCTCCAAAATTTGTACCAGAAAAAAATTGAAACGTGGGATTTTGATACGTTGTACCATCAATAAACAAGTATGGTGAATACAACATCGTCGAATCTCGATGAAATGATAACCACCAACGTTGGTCAATATTAGAAAACAAATGAAGTCCTTGGTTATTAAAAGCAATAGTTGGGCGTTGGTGGTCAAGTACTTCTGTTCTGCAATATTCTTCGTTGTTGAAACACCCCATTGAAACAAAGAGATTATCGGGGCGACCACCTTCTTCAAGTGTAATTCTTGAATCATTGAACCGCGTTTGAATGAAGAAATATAATAAATGAATTTCTTCAAAAGTAAAAATTATGTAATTTTGATCCGAATGTTTTAAGTTGGAAAATGTAAGTGTAGTACTGGAACAACATGTTGCTACAAGTTTAAATGAATAAATATAAATAAGTTTAACATCTTCAGTTTTTATTTTTGTATCTAACTCAAAATCATTTTTGTTACATAATTGTGGATTAAAAGCATCAAAATATATCACATTGTTAACTTCACAAAAAGTAACACTAACTAGAGAATGAACAATTAGTACAACATTTATAATTAAGTAAAACCAAAAAATCATTTTGAATAATTAAGATTTTTTTATGTTTATATACTAATTATTTAAAAATATTTTGTAAATTGTTAATTTAAACGCCA